CCACTGAGCTAAATCCCGGGCCCCAGTATCTTATTCTTTCCACTGGTTTCTATCATTTTCTTTTCTATCTGTGAAAAATCCTTTATAAGTTTGTCAATATTCACACTGCTAATCTTTTTTGTACGTTCTTCACTACTTTGATCCATGCTTGAATTGCTGTTGTTCCTGGTTCCTCAAAGTCTCCCCCACCTCAATTAATCTGGTTTTCTTTTTCTTTTTTTTTTTTTTTTGGTACTGGGGATCGAACTCAGGTCCTTGTTCTTGCGCAGCAGGCGGCGAAACCACTGAGCTAAATCCCCGGCCCCTCTGGTTTTCTTTTTAAATGGAGCATGACCAGGATAAACCTTAGCAACAAGCTGCCACTCCCAAACCTGTGCAGTAGTTCTTCTGTCTCCGTCTGACTGGTAAAGAAAGTGGAGTTTGGAGAAATGAAGTGGCTCAGGCGAGTCACAGTAGCTGAGTTTCCAGGGACTACATTTGCGGAAGTCGTCTTCCACCCCACTGTGCTGCTTTGGGCCTCACATCCCCGTCGTCGTACCTGCTGGGACAGGGTCCTATAAGGAGACGGCACCAGGCTAACCCCCAGCCTGCACGGCGGGTGACTGCTGTGGAACCTGGCCACCTGGTTGCCACACTGCTGTCCTCACCTCGGGGCCAGTGCCGCTTGGTGAGGTCCTGGGGGTGCTGACCTCAGCAGCCTTCCAGGGTTCATGGTTGACACAGTACCCCACACCTGCAAATGAAAGGAGGAGAAGCTTATTTTGGCTCAGTTTACGGAGGTTTCAGTTCATATTCCACTGGCTCCAAAGCAGGGCGGCGTGGCAGAGGGGCCTGGCGGAGGAGGAGAATTGCTCACTGCACGGTGAGAAAACAGAGAGGGGTCCAGGGAGGAGCTGGGGAGGGAGATGAACTCCTTCTGCCCCCCAGTGACCCTCCTCCTCCCCCCAGACCCTGGCTTCTCATAGCAAGCAAGCTAGAATCCCCCATAATCCAGTCACCTTCCAAAAGCCCCACCTTTGAGCTCATGAGGCTCTGGGGGGCATCCAGATATAAATCATAACAGAAGGCATCATTGTCAGAAACTTACAGTGTGGTAATTTGGAGGGGCTAGGAATGCCCCTTTCATGCCTTGCTGGTGTGAGCCTTGCTGGAAGGCACTGAGGCCACAGCTGTTGAAGCAGGGACCCCAACCTGGAGGAATGGTTGCACGGGCTCTCCGGGAGATGCGCTTGGGAATGCTGCCTTGTCTCAGCCTTGTGAGAGCGAAACGCTGGAAACCAGCTGAGTGTTGACCAGCCAAGAAAGGACTAAATAAAGTAAGAATGGCCACATGACCAGTGGATAAAGCAATCAAAGAGGTAGACTATGGGTGAGGGATTTAGCTCAGTGGTTCCGCCGCCTGCGTCGCAAGCACAAGGTCCCGAGTTTGATCCTCAATACCAAAAAAAAAAAAAAA